CACATCTGTGATCCTTCTGCTGTGAGTGACTCTGAGTCAGGTAGGCACTGTCTTGGGGAGTTCAACTGCACCTCCTTGCAAAAGGATTTTCCCAACTGGGTCTTTTGATTTCATCCCATCTTGGAAGGGTGGGGAGGATCCAGCCACTCTTTACCACCTGCTGTACTGCATCCTTCCTTAATTGCACATTTTCTGGGAGAGGCTAGATAACATAGGCCTGGAAGATTAGGGGAGGCCCTCATCCCTGCTTCGTAAAGGCTGTCTAGTTAGAACTGCTGCATGGAGGAGAGGAGAGAGAGAGGGGAAAGTCTCTTCTCCCCTTCTGCTCCCCCGTCACTCCCTTCTCCCCTCCCCCCCATACCTATACACTGTAAGTAATGTTCACGTATGCTCTGTAAGGAAACTCAAAAACTCATTGTTCCTCAGCATGAACATAGGCAGAAATCATGCCTTCGTTTTTCCTTGGGACACTCAGAAGGAATTTTAGCAACACCTGGCAACTGGGAAATAGTGGGAGGATTGCGCATTTGATAAAAGCAGTAAACCCTGGCTTCCGTTCCTGTAACCTCCAGAAAGGATAGAAAGGGATCTTTCCATCTTTGGCTTTTCTAAGACTTAAAAACTAATAATATTTAGCACAATCTATTATTTTGAAAACTCAAGATGAAGCAGTGTTCTATTTGGTTTCTTTTTGATCTCAGAAAACTGGACTGCTAGTGTGCCTGCTTAGCAGCCTCTGTGGCAGAGTTTCCTGATTTGTATCAGTGTAGGTTTTTCTTTTCCTGGAAGTAACAACAGGACCGTTAAAATCTTACTGAATCTTAGCTTTGGATACATTTGACTGATCCATTTGTCTGGATTCAGCAGTCTTTACAGAAGGTTAAGCTAGTCTATAAGCCAGTCTGCTGTATACTTCTGTGTCCTGCAAACAGGTAATGGTTTTTAGTTTTAAACGGTTGGACAGCGGAACATGTCCTGACTTGAGAAGTATATGAAATTCTAATTCCAGTACCCATAATGAAGGGTTAGTTGTGGTTTATTTTATTAAATGTAAATGAATGTTTTAACTGAATGTGCACCGAGTCCTTCCATCGTACTGGGAGAGGTCAGAAGAGGGCATTGGATACCCGACACTGGGGATACATGGGGTTGTGAGACACTATGTGTGCCAGAAATAAAACCCAAATCTGGAAACGCAACCAGTGCTCTTAACTACTGAGCCATCGTCACTCTGGCCCATAAGTGAAGTTCAGCCACATTAATCATTCATGGATTGTTCAGGGCCTTGACAGTAGGGAGCTGAGTTGCTGCTTCAGAAGCTCCCTATGGTGTGCTGCATTGCACGTCTGTTTGGCAAACAGGATCACACTCAGGTAATAATTGAACAGCATTTGGAGTGCCACGTGTATCGCCATACTATACCATTGTATTCTAGTACCTGCCTGTTAAATCAAAATAGGAAATACGCACTTTACATATACTTTCAGGTGTATTTTTCTTTAAGCATAATCTTGCTATGTTCTCAAGGCAACTTCACTGTTGTCCTGGTGTACATTATTTGCTTGGGTTTTTTTTTTATTATTTGTGTTTTACCTGCATGTATGTATGTTCACTGCTTGTGGGCTTGATGCCCGTGGAAGCCAGAAAAGACTGTATCAGGGCCCCTGGGACTGGAGTTACTATAGATAAGTGTGAGACACCATGTAGGCTGGTAGTCAGACCCAGTTCCTCCAGAAGAGCAGCCACTACTCTTAACTGCTTATCTTCTTGAGTAGTGTCCATCCCTTCATGTGTGCTTGTTCAAGCAGTTTCTGGGTCCACTTAGGCCATATTTTCAAGACCCTGTGAGTGCTTCCTAAAGTGATCCTTATCAAGCAGGGTACTCCCAGGAAGCCTTTCTCATGAATTTACACTATGTAGCTGGAAGTGAGGGAGAGTGCTATCTTCATCAGCTTATCTGGTATGCATTTTCATTATGATGTTATGATACTAATTTGGCAACTGCAGTATGATGACATTTCCAGAATAAACTCTTGACAGTGTTTCCTCATAGGGGAAAACAATAGAAGAATTAAGAATTTTAAGAGGGAATATCTCATCACAGCATAGTTTCATGAAAATACCCTGCAATCAAAGAGTCTTTACAAGTGGTTAGTCCATTAGCCAAAGGAAGCCATTTACCATGATCAGTAATGTCATGTTCGAATGCTTCAAGTGAAGGTGTCCAGAGAAAGACCAGACCTTTGGATAACAGCTGCTTGAAACTGGAGAAGAGAAAGATAAGCAAAAAATGGTTTAATTGACCAAACTTGTAAGCTTTGTGAAACGTGGGGTGTTTAGAACATGAAGGTGTTCGGTTGATTATTCATCAATGGAGAGTATGCAGGAACTCTGCTGTTAAGGTAGTGGTGGCACACACTTGATTCAGTCTGATAGGCTGTGTGAGGTTTTGTAAAGACAGCAGCAGTCAGGATTTGTAGACACTGAATTGCCCCCTTTGGTCTGAGCGTTGGTAGAGGTAATAACTGTCTAGTGGCTGGCTGTTCTGCTTCTCTGATCTTTCATCTTTTACCCCTATATCTGACTCTGGATTTTCATTAGTAAGACCAATTCGAATTTATGCTATAGACTCCTATTCCAGACCTCCTGCTACACTGACATTTTTCTGAGAAGTGCTTCTTGATTGTTATCTGTATCCAGAGGAATGACATTGAAATAACCGAGTTCATCCTTTCAGTGATGCCCAGGGTTTACAAGCCAGGACACTACTATAAAATAATAACACATCCGCCACTGGAAAGAAAGGGCCCATGATTTGACCTACGATAAAAGTTTCCGGTGTCCTGAAACAAAGTAAGATCCTTTTGCTGAGAAGTTTTAAAGGAAATCTGGAGGTGAACACATTACTCCATTTTGAAATAAGAATTATCTAATGTTGGCATTCATTTGATCCTCTCCTGATGTTAGATGAACTTTTCCGAGGATAAGGTTAAAACCCTTCTAGTGGTATCTTTGGTTACCACTCACATACTTAAGGAATCAGCTAAAATATGTGGGGAAGGCAGATTGCTAAAATGTCAGATTGAGGCAACTGGTTCTCTGTTTAGGAAGAGTAAGATTCCACAAGAGGATCTTATATACAGAAACATAACTTGGGGATGGGGTGTGTGTGGTAGAATCGCTGTCCAGTCCCATCACTTTGTACAAGATGTTGACACATCAGTGTACAATCTGAGTGGGAAGAAGGAGAGGTGGCCCCAGGAAAACTGTCAGGGTTTACAATGTAAGTTGCCTTACTGATCTGTGTGTACGTTTATGTGCTTAAGAGACCTCACTGAGGCATCAAAACCACTGCTTTCATCAGTAAATATTTCTACATGGCTACAGAAAGCACCCATTGTATTTAGAAGTGGGAAAAATCACTAGTTCGTAACATAAAGGCACAACATTTTCTTCATATTTTCTTAAAACATAAATCACACGATAGGCTACTTTTATAAACTTGGTTAATATGTTCTTTGTACCTGATTTCCTTGGAGAGGGCAGTTTGTTGTTAAACATTTGCTGTATTTCTCAATAGATACCTATTATCTATTAGGGTTATAATGTGCTTGAGTTTTGTAGTCTTTTTTTCATTTGTCCCCAGAATTACCTAACTATTAACAAGTAGTTCTTCATCGTCTCATCTCCTCCAGAGAATCATGTTATAGCTAAATTGTTGACACGAATTCTGCCCATAGTAGCTTTGGGAGACTATTATAAAAAGCCTGTCTTGATTGGTATTGACAGTGCCGACATAATTTCATCTAGACAGCAAATGAAGACGAACTTCATTCCTTAGAGACTATCAGAGCAAAGCCCACGAACTTGGGAAGATGTTGTTGTATTCAGACGCAAGTGTTATCTTTGAACAAACCAGTCCTCCTTCTCTATATAGAGTTCAGGTAAACAAAACATTTGCTCAATATTTTTAAGAGAACAATTTCCTAAATCTTGGAAAGATTTCCTAAAACATGGGAAGAGCTCTCTAAGCAAGTAAAATGGAAATTATCAGTTTAGACGTGATCAGGCTCGTTGGCATATGTGTCTGTATCAATGTAATTTAAGCCATTACATCTTTGAAACAGAACTGCTTAAGATGTTGCGCAGAGTATATAGATGTGTTTATTCGAGCTTGCCCACTCAGGCAAGATGGCAGTGTACTTCCGATGAGGTATGCAGTCAATCAAACCATTCATCCCGTGAGTAAGAACAAAATGATCAACCAACTTCAGAGAATAAATAACTAGAAGGAAACAGAAGTAACCATTACAACATAATGAAAAAAATTTATTTTCCAAATTCTTTTCCAATTTGGCTCTAAGGTATACTGACTCAGGTATTTAAACAAGTACAGAAATGACCTAAAGAGAGGAGACATAACAGTATTCTAGCAGGGTAAAATGTAAACCCACACCCATCCCCACCAGCTTCCAGTTTGATAAAAGGAAATGCCTAACAGAATCCTGTCGTTGGGGAATGGAGAAAGAAGCACTGTGCTCTGAGGAAAACCTGCTGCATAGTTCTACTACGCCACATGCTGCTGCCCAAAAGACTGCTTACAGGAGCTCCAGGCTCCAATCTGGCACTTCAGGTAATGACAGATGACCAAAACATGCTTGAAGACAGTGGGGAAAAGAGTATCTTATCCTCTGAGACTTTCAAAGTGGATTGTCAGATTCGACTCTCTAGCTTGAACTACGTGAATACAGCCATCACGCTCCTTCATGGAATGGCACCCACGTGAACCACGGAATGGATGGACTGGGGTGACATCCGTTCTTCCTTAAACTCATTCAACATAAAACTCTAGGAGGAGGAATTGCAAGGATCTTTCATTTTACTATTATCTCCTTGGCTTTTGTTTATGGTGAATTCTGGCTTTTTTTTTAAAAAGCTAATCTACTTGAAATCCTCAAAATTAGTACCAAAGAAACCACACAGTTTACTATTCTAACGGCTAATTTATAAAACTTCCAAGGTTTTTATTTAATGAGACATTTTTTTTTCTGTGTAAATAGTGCATACAAGGCACAAAAGCATCTGAGTTTATTTACTGAGGCCAAACATTTTTGCATCATTAAACACATTTTAGTTTACCTTAAACTACATTTCCAAAAGAGCACACTGTTTAGTTTATGGTAAACTAAACTTCCAAAAGTATATGATTTTTAAATGATTTGCATAATTTAATCCTGATATTTTTTGAGGAAAAATATATCCCAATGATCATAGTTTTGATGAAAGGACGCAGAGATGATAGAGATGTATTAGACGAATAATCTGTTGATCCATTAAAAATGCTTAGAACTCAGTAGAGTCACCATAAAATAGGGCAAGCAGTTAAAAAAAAACAAGTTTTATAACATCCAGACCAATAGCAGTGTTACTAAGCAATCTTCACAATAATTAGCATAAATCCCCTCTGACTTCAAATTAAAAGACATGAAAATAAATTTCTGATATAAGTTCTTTGTCAAAACATTAATATTAGCTGTGACAAAAGGTTTTATCCAATCGCTTTGAAGAGTGAACCCAAGCTTCAGTGTTCATACCTATTTTCCAATGGGAGACAGAGTCTAGAATTAGAATTGAACCTTCCACAAAGGGATGGAGACCTTCAGCCATGGGCTTCTTGACCTTCATAATGAATTCATACTCACTGCAGTTCCCACGCCTGAAGCCAGATTCACATCAGGGGGAAAACTCAAAGAAGGAAGACTTCTCACCACTTCTGAATACAACTTAGCATTATACCATGACTTGAAAAATTTAAAATTGGAAGATGAATCTACATTTTCTGAAAGAGAGTACCAAATGACTAATGGGATTATACGTTAAATTATACAACCCTGAATGAAAACGGGCCCATTAACTTATTCTTAGTTTTCAGCAGAAAATAGTTCCTTTTTAGTTTCTTTTAAAGGAATTTTTGTTAGTTATAGCTGTTTATATATTGAACTGAACTGTGTTCTGCTGTATCAGCTTGGTAATGACTCCTCAAAATTCTTCATACCGCTGGGTGGGATCCCCATCACGGATGAAGAAAACTGCATATTTAGCCAAAGGGACATAGGGATAATTGGTCAACGGTGCCTTCCAGTGGGGAGCCTGTTCCATCCGTCCACAGCCTTGGAACCTTAAAAGCAAACAAAAACCATGAAACTATGTTAAACATACAAATTGAGCAACTCATTCACTATTTATCACACAGCCCCTATTCAACACCATTTCCTATACTGCAAGGCTTGGTAGATCTTGAATACAGATCTCCAGGTCTAACGTAACTCACGAGAGATAGTAAGAGCTTACTAAGTGGACCGTCAATGTAGATTCTGATTGGGTAGGTCTAGGATAACGAGCAAGGGTCTGCGTGACTATTTAGTCCCAGGAGATGCTCGTTTTTCTACTTTAAGTCCACAATTTGAGTGGCAGTGCCTGCTGTTATTCATCTGTTGTTCATCCCCCCTGAGGCCAGTTGGAGATGAGGAATGGCTAAAGTGTTACAGCAAATTTAAGAAAACTAAGATGCATGACATCACAGTGCTTTTATTTGTTTTATTGTACAGTAGGGAGGCTTGAGCACTAAAGGAGGCACTAAAGCTAATGTTTATAGAATCACAATGCATTTCAGGAAAAACATAACTATCACTAAGTTATGCTGAACTGAGAGAAGCTGTAAAAAGATCACAGGTTAGGCTTGGGACTTAATGCAATGGTATGGTATGGTGGTATGGTATGGTATGGTATGGTATGGTGGTATGGTATGGTGGTATGGCATGGTATGGTATGGTATGGTATGGTATGGTATGGTATGGTATGGTATGGTGGTATGGTATGGTGGTATGGTATGGTGGTATGGTATGATGGTATGGTGGTATGGTATGGTGTGGTGTGGTGTGGTGTGGTATGGTATGGTATGGTGGTATGGTATGGTGGTATGGTATGGTGTGGTGTGGTGTGGTGTGGTATGGTGGTATGGCATGGTATGGTATGGTATGGTATGGTATGGTATGGTATGGTATGGTAGGATAGGGTATGGTGGTATGGCATGGTATGGTGTGGTATGGTATGGTGGTATGGTATGGTGGTATGGTATGGTGGGGTAGGATAGGGTATGGTGGTATGGCATGGTATGGTGTGGTATGGTATGGTATGGTATGGTATGGTATGGTATGGTATGGTGGTATGGTATGGTAGGGTAGGATAGGGTATGGTGGTATGGTATGGTATGGTATGGTATGGTATGGTGGTATGGTATGGTGTGGTGTGGTGTGGTGTGGTGTGGTGTGGTGTGGTGTGGTATGGTGGTATGGTATGGTGTGGTGTGGTGTGGTGTGGTGTGGTGTGGTACGGTGTGGTGTGGTATGGTATGGTATGGTATGGTATGGTGTGGTGTGGTATGGTGTGGTGTGGTGTGGTGTTGTGTGGTGTGGTATGGTATGGTGTGGTGTGGTATGGTATGGTATGGTATGGTGTGGTGTGGTGTAGTATGGTATGGTATGGTATGGTATGGTATGGTATGGTATGGTGTGGTGTGGTGTAGTATGGTATGGTATGGTATGGTGGTATGGTATGGTGGTATGGTATGGTGTGGTGTGGTGTGGTGTGGTGTGGTGTGGTGTGGTGTGGTATGGTGGTATGGTATGGTATGGGACTTATTTAGAATGCACAAGCCCTGGGTTCTATCTTCAGCATCTCACCCACAAAGCTACAGAACATTTACTAATGTAGTTCAGAAAGACAAGAACAGAAAATACCATTTGGTAATCTGAATTATATTCAGCAACATTAGACATGGTCCCATAATACTTTGTTAATTTTATGTGCAGTACTGTTTGCCTGCATGTGTGTGTCTATGTGAGGGTGTCAGATCCCTGGAGCTGGGGTTACAGACAATTGGAAGCTGCCATGTGGAAGCTGGGGATTGAAGCCAGGTCCTCTGGAAGAACAGTCAGTGCTCTAAACTGCTGAGCCATCTCTCTAGGACCTCTAGACAGAGTTTCATAAAAGTGCATATTAAGTGGTTTGCAAACGTGAGACACAAATGCAAGAAAAAATTATTTTTTTAAAGTATGCTATTCAGCATGGTGATGAATGCCTTTAATCCCACCACAGGGGAGGCAGTGGCGGGCAGATCTCTGTAAGTTTCAGGCCAATCCTAGTCTATACAATGAGTTCCAAGCCAGCCAGATGGGACCTGGCTCAAAAAAGTATAGTCTCTTCTACTATATTAGAAGAAATTTAATTTAAAATTATTTTTTTCTGGTGATAGTTATGTCACTTAAATGAGAAGTATTCAGGAAAATCACTTGGTATTTTTTATTAGGTATAGTTTATTTAGTGCCATTTGGTTATGAATACAAATTACTTATGTCCAAATGTAATAAAATCAAGCTTCTGTGGGTTAAAGTCCCATATTTTTCAATCACTATTCTCTCATGTATTCATTGAGAGCCTGTGATTGCTGTCTCTGTAAAAGGTGCCAGGGTTAGTTATCACCAAATTCAAAGCTGGTCAGTATCAGAATGTTAGAATGCCAAGGAGAGCTAGACACAGCATTGCCATATAAACAAGTGAACTATTAATACTAATAATAACCTCATTGATAATGATAATGATAACCAATGATTTGAAATACTGAAAACAAATCCTGTGCATTTTATGTCTTAACACAACTTCTATAAAATATTTTATTTGCAGTATTAACTCGTGGTTCATAGTTTTGCACTCATAGGTTGTTTCTCAGGATCTTTTCCAGAAATTATCTACTTGGTATTTAACCAAATTCAGAATATTCCATTTTTACCTTCTTAGCCCTAACTGCGGTCACTCTGACCTACTGTACCGTCATGTATTCAGAGGTGACACATGGCTTCCCAATGTCCAACACTACTCAATTAGCAATTTATAATATAATTTGTATTTTATCCTTCTTCCCTCCACCTCTCCATTTCTCCCTCCCTCATGAATTTGGGGATTGAATGGACATGCCTCTGTACCCTACTGTGTTTTGTTCTTAATTACATTGTTATTCGTCAAAACCAAACAAAGCAAATTTAAAAATTCAATATGCATGATAATATAAATGATTTTATTTGAGACAGCAGTTCTTTGTCTCCCTTACAGTTGGAGATTTTAGATTGCAGTTTTTAAAATAGAAAGTGGTACCAATGACTGCAGACTCGTAATTGAGAATGAGAGACCTCAAGGTGTCTCTTTACTTGATTTTCAGACAGGCTCTTTCCATGTAGCCTTGGTTGGCCTGGAATTCCTTACATAGACTAAGCTGGCCTTGCCCTTGCAGTAGCGCTTCTGTTTTTGTTTTCTGAGCACTGGGATTATAGCTCTGAATACCATCTGTGGTATATATTGTATTTATTCTAATATTGCATGTATAGTTGGCTTGTTTATCAGAGGCACTCTTTCTTATACCTTTGTGCTAACTACAGGCTTATAAATGGCATAGTTTTTAAGTAGACTAATTTGGAAACACAGGTTGTATGTGTTAATTATAATGTAAAGAAAAAAATGATCGGGAATAGCTACTAAAGATGACCTATAATAAGGTCCTACTGTGAGTGACCCAAATGGCAATGCAGAGGTTGTGCTGGTAAGATTTAATCATCTAATACATAGACCAAGTAAGAGTCTGCTAATAGATGGATGATCAAAGATACAGTGACAATAATTTTAAATGAGAGGAAAATTTTATTCTATGATCATGAAAAATAATGTTCATCTTAGGATCCATCCCCATGACTTAATGTATGACTATAATAGTAACTTTTCCATTAAGTTATTTCTACAGCTTGTCAAGTCAACCTGTATGCTGGCTAGCACTGAACCTAGGTCCATTTCCACGTCCATCATGATTTGTGGAATTCTACAGGTCAAGTAAGATTTCTTCTGGGTCATTCAAAATATATATTGTTCATGGAAACTATGAACTGTTTGGAACTGGAAACCTGTTAAAAATATAAAATGTAACAATAAAGGCGAATCATCTTACTTCATAAAAGTGATTTCATGTTCGGTTGTAGAGTTAAGTTTCATTCTCCATAGTTAGTGCAGGGTTGCTCATACCTTAAAGAACATAAATGAAGACTTTTGACTGATTTGAACAAACGGCAAAAATACATCTATTTACCTATAAGCCACCCTCTAAAATACTAACAGAAGAGTCTCATATATTGTGTTGATATTTGGTTTACAGAAACACATAGACATTCACTCACCACATGACACTGGTTAAATCACTCCAGTATCAAACACACACACACACACACACACACACACACACACACAGAGAGAGAGAGAGAGAGAGAGAGAGAGAGAGAGCACAGGGGCAGTGGAGGGAGACAGGACTTCGGAGGAAGCAGGGGGTCACAGTAAGGAAAGATGTCCAGTAGCAGGCACCGCATATACCTTGTTTCCTGACTCCCTCCCTCTCCTCCAAGGAAAGAAGCCTTGAAGTCCTTTTGCCATCCCATCCTTCTCATGTTTAAACCTTAGCTTCTTAATTTAGCAACCAAAGAAACATAAAAATCAATTTAACAGCCAAATAATTAATTGCATATTAAAAAGCAAGAAATCAGCAGTGTTATAGTGTGAACTGTAATATGAAATATAAATCCTCCTGGAAGAAAGATTAGTGAGCCTGCCTGACAATTGCCCCTCCATCACTGCTTTGTTTCTATGGAAACTAGTGTTCAGAAGCCAAATCAGTACCATCAACTATTGTCTAGGTAATGCCTCATCCTTACCACAGTCTGAGAAATGAAATACTCTGTCTAGAAGAGAGAGAGATCAAATTATAATACTTAAATCATGAGGCAAATGTATTTTTGAAAAAAACCACTAAGATTTACTAAAGAAACCTTGCATTTTAAAAGAATATGGGTGATTAGATGTTAAATAATAAATAGAACTTTTACTCAAGGATTATGTAGTTTTGTTCAGACTATCACTAAATACCAAAGAGATTCTAAATAAATCACTCAATACTTTAAAGTACAATGAACCAGCATGTGAATCATGAAAATGAAAGGGGTGTAAGATAAAAATAAGTAAAGGTTTACATGAGGTTGACTAAAATTGATCTGGAGATCTTCTGTACTCATTTGTTGGGACACCAAACATGTGTGCAGACATGTACACACACACACCACTGCATTACGACCACACTATTGCATTTAACCCTTATGAGCACCAATACTATGAATATAAAGAAACAAAATCTAAATGGCATTAGGAGACCTAAAAATCACATGAAAGTGAGATTTGTAATCGGGTTTGAGTTCAAAACAGGTTGCTTATTCTTTGAAATAAAAATAAAGCCAACAGCAATGAGAGAAATTGGGAGATGTGAAAAAACCGAGAGCAGCTGAAGTTACAGTAATTATGTACTCACTTTAATACTCTGAAACTGGATGGAATCTTTAAAGTAAAAGACAAAATTGTGGAATTTAAGATCCTTTCCTGGAGATATTGTTCAAGTTTCTGAATTGGCTATATTATCTCATTTTCTATGCTTTATACTGTGAGTCATTGCCATCTTTACAACGTTCCGCAATAAAGATTTGGTGGCGAACAGGCAGAAATTCTTTGACAATAACCCGACGTGTATGGTGGGGGTCTGACTCAAAAATAAAATATAAATCTCCGTGCAATGGACTTTCTCTCCTCTTCTACCTCTTGAGAACAGAGGCTATCGAAACCAAAGCAAATGCATCCTCACCGGCTTTGCCTTTTCCAGGGTTCGAGCTGCTCTCCGTCCAGGTCTGAGACTCCGTCAGGAGGTGGCTCTGGGATTCTCTCAATGGCTTTGCAGGAAACTGATGGTTTTCAGGACTGACAAGAAGTAATCACAATCACAAATTAACTCTTAACAACATTGTTGCATAGTTCCCAAAATGAAATGCAGGCCTCTTGCAATGCAGGCTGTTTGCAGGAGGGATGCGAGACAGACTGAGTAAATCTGGTTCTCCGTGAGAGAATCATTCTTTTTAGCCTTCTTGCATCCCTGATTACGCAGTCCCCAACTCTGGGAAATTTCCACTTTGAATACAGAAAATGTTCTCAGAGTCAAACTTTAGCATGTAAAAGAATTTTGTTAGTATGTAATAGCAGTTATTGGGTGACCATTTATTGTTTTATTTATGCCAAGTAATACCAGTTTCTCATTTATGACAAACAATTTCTTTGGTTTTTCAAGAAAGGGTTTCTCTGTGTAGCTCTGGCTGCCATGTCAAGACCAGGGTGGCCTCGAACTCACAGATCCATCTTCCTCTGACTCCCGAGTGCTGGGATTAAAGGCATGCGTCCCACCCGGCTGAAATTTGCTTGTAAAGTAAGATTGAAGGCCATGGATATGACTTAGTGGGTATAGCACTTGCCTTTCAAACATGAGGACCAGAGTTCAGACCCATGTAAATGCTGGGGGAATGTGGCAGCTGAGGAAGGGGTTCCTTGGAGCAAACAAGCTAGCTAGGCTAGCCAAAATGGTGAGCTGTGGAATCAACTGAGATTCTTGTACTGATGAATAAGATGGCAAGGGATCAAGGAAGACTCCAGATGTCACTAGAGCCTCCACACGCTTGTGCACATACTCCTGCATACATACCCATGAATACACACACACACACACACATATGTGTATCCACATACAGGTGGACAAGCAATATACATATGCAAGGCCACTACACAGACCTACACATAACACTAAGTACCAAGTTAAGGAAATATGTATTGACTTTATTAAGTGATGTGTGTGTGTGTGTGTGTGTGTGTGTGTGTGTGTGTGTGTGTAGGAAATATAAAGAACACGGTAAGAAGAAAAGTCAAAGAAAAAAATTGGCTTTGGGTTTGGCAAGTGACTTAAGTCGGCTTGAACAAGGAACTACTGTCCTTTTGTCCGATGAGCAAAACTGAGTCATATCTTGCAGGAACTTTTCAAACATCTGATATTATCAGGTCTCAGAAACCTGGTATACAATTTGGGAAGTAAAAGAAGCTTGAAAGAAGCACTTGGTTTAAAATTAGTTAGACCTGCTACAGACTAACATATCTGATGGCACATAAACTACTACTTAACTTGGGGACGTGTGTTAGCACAGAGACTCCCCCAAATAATTGTAACATTGTTTCTCAAAAGAACCTCTTAAAATCTTTCCAAGAACAATTTCCCACCTTTCAGCCAGTTATAACAATTATATTTTAAGGCTACAAGAATAAAATTTTGCAACATGATAACTGCCTCACAACTAAAATTCCCGAGTATTTTAATTCCCTTCTTGTGGCTTTAACACAAATAAATTAACAAATTAAATTTATTAAAAAGAAGCAAACTTTTAAGAAAGCATGGCCATTCAGGTTATATAATAATATAACAAATATATATCACATATATAACTATATATAAAACATATACAGCTATATATAAAAAACAATATATACACACCCGTATATATGGCTTACATTATATACACAGTATATACAATGTATACAGTATATATAGCAAGTAATATGCCTTATATAATATTATAACAATAATAAATATTGTTACAAGAGTAGATCTTTGTCATTTGTTATAATCATAATAGCAGTAATGAAATATCAACCAGCAGTTAATTAGTATGCGATGTCTTCTTGTACTGGCTGGTTTTGTCCATCAACTTAGCACAAGTTAGAGTCATCAAGAGAAAGGAACCTCAGTTGAGGAAATACCTCCTAGAGATCCAGCTGTAAGTCATTTTTTCATTTAGTAATCAATGGGAGAGGGCCCAGCCCATTAGGTGGCGCCATCCCTAGGCTGCTGGTCCTGGGTTCTATAAGAGGGTGGGGTGAAGCTAGGGAAAACATGCAAGTAAGTGAACAGCTCCTTCAAGGCCTCTGCATTAGCTCCTGCCTCCAGGATCCTGCCCTGTTTAAGTTCCTGTCCTGATTTTTTTTTCAGTAATTAATGGAAATATGGAAGTTTAAACCAAATAAACACTTTCCTCCTCAACTTGCTCTTTGGTCATGGTGTTACCACGTAGTAATAGAAAACCATAACTAAGATAATTATCCATCTCTTATATCAAAGAATGAAGACTTCATACTCATGGAAACTTTATCATTAAATATGGAAAAATATACACATAATCAGGTGATAATAAACTCAGTGACTTTCTGCGCTTCCCTTTGCAATGAAATTGTGTTGTCCAAATGTTACTAAACATGGCCTCTCATGTACAGTGATGGGTAACAGACACCTATAATTCTAGCAACGGAGAAATGAACCCAAGAGGATCAGGAGTTTAAGGTCATCATCAGTTATATAGTAACATAATACCCTAATTGACGCCCTTACCACACCCCCAGGCAGTGGTTCTCAAGACAGTAGCTCTTGAGCAGAGGGGAGCTGGCAAGTCCCAAAGCACTAAATACAACGCGTGCTTGGTAGAGTGTCAAAAGAGAAAAAGCTACAGTGTGTCTGGGGATTGGTATTGATGAGAAAGTAAGGAGGAATGACATCAAAGAGGTTTCAAGGGCAGTCTAGTAGGCCAGGCAAGCATTGGAGAACTACAGCAAGACACAATCCGGAGGGAGAAAGGCAGCCTGGGAAGACCAGATAGAAACCTGCTGAAATCATTTATGGGCCAATCAATACTGTGCTAGCTTAGGAAACAGCCATGAAGGTGGTAAGTAAGGATGCGTGTGTGTGTGTGTGTGTGTGTGTGTGTGTGTGTGTGTGTGTGTGCGCGCGCACACACACGCATATAATTGCAAGTGGTAAGAAAGCCTTATGGAAATACATCGGAAAATTTTAAATATATATTATTTCTGCAGTGAAAAGAATCAAACCTAGGACCTTGTACATACACAATAGACCTAAGTGCTACCACTGAACTATATCTCTGGCCTTTGATTTTGAAGCAGCCTCTTTGATTTTGGGGTCAGTCTAGTCCTGAACTTTCTTTATAGCCCAAGCTGATCTTAAACTCAAGATTCCCCCTTAGTTGCTCAAATTGAACCTCAACATTTAAATGAAAGATAAGAAATGGATGTTGAGGACACATAACTTCAAATTCACTTAGCTGAGCAAATATTTCAAAAGTGAGATTTCCCCTCCCAACCTTAGAGTAGCTAGAAGATAGAGAAAAATGCTGCTTCTAAAACCTCCTGATTCTTAAAGTACAAAAACCACTTAACAGGGGTCAATAATATCAAAGTAATCTGCTATTAAATTTTGCAAAACTTTAAAAACATATTCTCAATAATTTATTAGAACTCAGTTATTTTACATTGACATATAGGAAAATCTATTAACGTTTAACCCTATATAATTTTCAAGCCAAAACCGCTTAAAATTTGACCCAGGAAATGACTGCTGTCTCACTGAGAAGTAGCAGAGAAACCTTCTCCTTAATGGGTAAAGTTTGGCCTGCACACAGCTCACACCAAAGACGGAGAGACAAATACGTCTTAAAAACTTAATGTGATTTTGGAATGTTTGCCAGGGTTACAGCCTTGAAAATAATTCTGGGAACACTCCAGAATTCATAGAAAAAAGCACCGTAATCAAGAAATATTTACAGATTAAGTGGCCATTTGCATCTGAAGTTATAGCAATGGAAAAAACCTCTAAAATTTTTTAAATAATATCATGCTTATACTTTTGTTACCAACTTTCATCTAAAATTAGAGTATGTTGCTACTTAAATAAATATATAAAAAGTAATTCTTCATCTGGGAAATGTATATAGGGAGTTGGAGAGATGGCTCAGAACTCAAAAACACTTTCTGCTTTTGCAGTGGACCTGAGTTCAGTTCCCAGCATGCACAAGATGGCTCACAACTGTCTGTGACTCCAATTCCAGGGGATCTGACTTCCTTTTGGGACTCGGAGGTACCAGGCAACATGTGGTGCACACACACACACATGCTGACAGAACACCATGCACACAAATGAAAGAAATAAATATCTTAAAATTTTCACAGTAAGGCATATGCATCCTTCTCCCCCCCCCAAAAAAAAGAGGATATAGCCTTGTTTCTTAAAAAAAATAAGAAAATTCTCATATAGCAACTTTAATGGTTTTGTACTTTTCCCTTTATCCAGTTAGTAGAAAGCCAGAATTAAACTTCTGTCTTAATGTTCCAATCCTCAGATCTTCGAAAGACTAGAATTCAAACGAATTTAAAGCTGCAGCAAAGGTCTACATACAGTGAATTTTCAAGCCCCTTGCACAGGCACACTGACTGGGGCAAGACTTAGAGACCTTACAGAGCCAGAAGGATACACAATGTACACAGTTGTATCCTTCCTGTATCAAATGGATGCCCGGAGGTCCTTTTGATCTCCAAAGGCCCAATAGAAGAAATTTTCTTTAACCTTTATAAACATTACAGTGGAGGAGAGATATCAAGGTTGGACACAAAAAATCCTACCTTGACATCTAGCTGGAGCAGATGGGTAACTATTTTTGACTTACGGTATTTTTTAAATCCTACCTTTCAAAAATCATAATATGTTTTGGGTTGGCGAGATAGCTCAGCCATTAAACGCTATGCTCACAGACAAAAATGGTAATATATTTCATTCAACTAGTGAATTAATACTTACTTTCATTTTAAAAGAGCCTTATTTATTTTGTATTTTATGTACATGAGTATTATGTCTGCGTGTATATCTGCACACAAACAGAGGGCATTGGATCCCATGAGATGACAGTTATAGATGACATGGATCCCATGGGATGACAGTTATAGATGACATGAGTCTTTATGTGGGTGCTGGGAATTGACAGGACCTCTAGAACAGCAGTCAGTGCTCTTAATTGTCGAGCTCTCTCTCTAGCCCCCGTTTCCTTACTCCAGCCCTTATAAACAGAATTGTATGAATGCAATTGAAACTATGTATCCTCTCTACTTTGCCACTGTCTCCCTCCATCCCAGCAGGTGGAGGCCATTGTCTCTGACATCTTCTCCTCCAAGGAACTCATAACCAAAAATACAACAGAAAACATCATTTGCAAATGAAACAGAAAAAAAAATGTAGCATTACTTTTTCGCTGTCGAATTCAGTCCTGCGGGAGTGGACGGTTGTTCGGGATCCTGGTTAACAAGGCAAGTTGGAAAAGAACAGCCATCACCTTGACTGTAATTAAAAAACAGTGAGAAGACAGTAAGAAGACGTGGGTCAGTGAGCTAATTTAGGCTTTCCACTCGCAACCATGAATTGCTGATTGGTACTCTAGAAAGCCCTGTGCAGAAAAGCAACAGGTTTAACTCAAGGTCATCATTGTTTGCTAACTTTCATTAGTTCACCTAGAAAGCTTTCAGAAAAAGTACCTTGAAAATATCGGTAGCAGCCAGTACTTCTTCTCATCGCCAAAGACTTGCCGCATGTTTTTACTGAAACCCAAACTGAATCCATTCTTATCTGTTCCATGTCTAAATACTGGATTTCTGAATGCCTCTAAAAGAAACAGAGAAGCAGTGCCATGAGAACAAAATGTATATACTAGTGAGCCCTAACCCTGGAATGGGTGAAGTGACGGTGGCCTCCCAAGAGTCCTCATGGACCTAGACATAGCTCAACCAGGTTGTCTATTTGGTTTTAAAATATTAAGAAATGAGTAGGTCTCTTTTAATTTTTCACGATTATAAGAACACTTGTGAACTAGAGAAAATTAGAAAATTCAAATGAGCCAAGAAATTAAAATCGACACCTCCCAAATCTTTGCTTTACCTATCATTAGTGTGTGTATAGGTGGGCATGGTGGGAACACATGAGCCATGGTGTGCATGCGGTGATCAGAGGACAACTTTATAGAGAGGGTGGTCCCCCCTCCCCACTGACATACCCCACCATCAGCCCACCTTCTAGATCTTCTGGCCAAAAAAAAAAAGACATCATTAAAATTTTTATCTCAGCCAGACAGTAGTGGCACATGCCTTTAATCCCAGCCCTTGGAAGGCAGAGGCAGGTGGATCTTTGTGAGTTCAAGACCAGCCTGGTCTACAAGAGCTAGTTCCAGGACAGGCTCCAAAGTTACAGAGAAACCTTGTCTCGAAAAATCAAAAAACAAAACAAAACAAAAACTCATCATAATTTTTCCAGTTGACCCAAAAATGTACTTTATAGCCAGCTTGTCCAAACACAACTCTAATCCCCAAACAGTCATATCCAGTTATGCCCCTTTTGTGTATCAAAGCTGTGGTCCAAAAAGACATTAGAGTTGTCCACAGTCACACAGCAAGGGAATATAGATGTAGTGAGGTCATCAGTGTTCTCTTTACGACACCACAGTTTCCTCTAAGGGAACTCTGCAAAGCAAATTCTAAAATCTCCATTTCAGGATAGAAACACATTTTTTAGAAGCATAAAGATTCTATCCATCATTTTGGAGACAAAAATCTAACTGGCAGGGTCAGATACTAAGGGAAACAACAAACATAAACCTTTCCTTATTAGCTAAGGGCTTCCCTACGTAGCCTTGCTATTTCTCAATTGGGTTGGTGCTTCGTTTCTGGTCATTTCCCATCATACCTAGGTCACCCATTGTGCCAACGGGCAGCATTTCACAGTCCTCTCAAAACCCTTCACTTCTGGGAAGTCAGTCATAATGCTACTGTCACCTCTAATTTTGGTAATAACTCTTTTACTATTTCTTCTCATATAAGCCTCGTTAAATTTGTTATATTAAAAATAAGTTATCTGTTTTATTTATTCTCCTTTAATTTCCTTTCTGTGAGCTCCCACACTCATTAGATCCTTCCTTCTGCTTGCTTTGGGCTCTCTCTGGCTCATCACACTGCACAGTTATTGGCTAAAACCCTTATTCATTTTTAATATGAACATCTGCAGTTGCATCTTTCCCTCTGAGCGTGGCTATGTCCCTTGGGTCTTTGCTTCTCTTCCTGGCGCTGTGATAAATATTTTGATGAAAGCAACTTAAGGGAAAAAGAGCTTGTTTGGCTCACAGCCCCTGGCTACTGACCCTCAAGGCAGGAAGTCGCACTGGCAGGAGAGAACAATGAATGCATGCTGTTTCTCAGTCCCTTTCTCCATTGATACAGTTCAGGAGCCCAGCCAGGGAATGGTGTCACCCACAGTAGGTGGGTCTTCCCACCTCAGTGAAGGTAACCAAGATCATCTCCCCCACCCTCATAGGCGTGTTCAGAGGTCCATCTCCCTGGCAATTCTAGATCTTGTTTAACAATGAACACTACTCATCACTTCTTGTCTGTAGAGCTTTTGAACAGACTCTGTTCCATGTCTACAATGTTCTGGATCTTTCTACGGTTAACTTTTCAGATTGTGTATTTCTTAGTGTTGTGAGACGGTCCCTGACAGCTCATTCAAAATGGCTTCCCTTCCACCATCTCCAGCCATTACTTCATAACCTGTTTGCATCCTTCAAAATCCTTCTGATTTTATAGTTATTATTATGTTTAATTTTTGCCTTCGTGCTTTCCTTTGCTTTCCACTTGGTATAAATAATGTTTTCAAACAATGCATAATAGTCAATTAATACATGCAAAGAATGGACTGGTGTCTATATGACATTACAAAACACGTGGGAAATAAGAAAGATTTTATTTGACTATTTCAAGACAGATTGATGACATTTATTCATATGACAACTTTTAGTGAATGATGGCATGTATATTTAACGTTCTCTTTGCTATAGTGATCAGATACTCACCTAACGTAGATTTATTTTTGCTGACTAGCCAACAATGATAACCAAACAGAGAAGACAAGCTGACAGAAAACATAGCTGCAGCAAAGAATAAAAACATAATATGGAACTTGGCTTGAGTATCAGGCAGACCATTCTACAAGGAAAGGCAGAAAACAAAACGTTTGTCAAAGGAATGAATGAATATTCCTCTACATTTATGAATCAGTTAGTATGGTTGTTTTTTTAAAATAATTTAGAAACAGAAAATGACAACACACAGTTTCATACTAAAATTTAAGGAGAAAAGTAAATATCATATTCAAATGTAAATATCAAAAGTAAATATCGATTCATATTAAATTAAATGCTTTCTAGAGTATGAATATATATTTAGAAAAGGTTAAAGTTGGAATGTTTGTTTTGCCTCACATAAGAAAATCAAATTCTAGAAACAAACAACAAACAAACATGACAGCAGAAACTATACCAGTAGGAAACAAGATAAAAAGAGACTATAAAATGGAGTTTTAAATTTACTGCCTGAACGTGTTATTAGCATACCTCATATTCACAAACGTTTAAATGATTTTGATTATAATGCCAGAAAAATGAGGGCTAGTCGGCACATTTAGTTCCTAATCTCTTTGATACTTTAGATTGCCATAAACAGCAGCATCAACCTAATGCCTGAAAATAATGCTTCAGGCTCTGTTCATAGCATTATAGAAATGATAACATTTGGGACAGGCTCCAAAGCTACAGAGAAACCCTGTCTCGAAAAACCAAAAAAAAATAATAATAATAATAATAATAATAATAACATTTGTAACACCTGTCTGAAACAAAGATTTCAATCACAGGCTGAAAGCAGCCAACACGGGCAAAACCTGTTTGCCCCTCACATCCAAGAGAGATGGGCAGGTTGAGAGTGAAGGCCTAGGGGCCTGGCATTCAGAGAGGCACTGGAGATACCAGGGGCTCCCATTCTGACATGAATACAGTGTTTCACTTCCCTGCCTACTCGCCCTTGATGGAAGAGACAAGACCTTAACTGGCAGCTTTTGACAGTAAAAGCCTGAACAACAGGAACTCTGGTCTTTCCTGTTTAGATGTATTTGAGGTTTGGAATGATAACCACCCATGGGGATGGAGGGCATTGAGATTACAGTCTGGAAGACATTCAGTGGGGATCAGTTGTTAACTGGAAATGGAGGTATCTTTGAATGCGACGAACCCACACGTGTCTTTCTGCTTCTTAATGAGACTGGCACACAGCGAGCATTCAGGAGCTCTTCAGTATTACATTTGGTTTCAATTTCATACAAATTACCTAGCAATTCAGATATTCTTGCCATAATGAAAGATAATTTAATAAAAATCAAATAAAATTCTATGAGAATGAAATCCTGGCAAGGAGTAAAATCCTTTTTTACTATTATTTCGTGTTTGCCAGGAATATTTCTGATAGTGTGTACACGCCATAGTTTTGTTTTATCTTGCTTTAGAACATAATGTATATATATAAAGAACTACCTAAAGATTATTAATGGAATGCACAATAAAAATACAGAACATTGCCCACATAACAATTTTAAAGACACTCAACATCCAAGGAGGAAACACTTTAATTTTTAAATACTGAGAAAAAAATCTGCTTATGTAGCCAGTTCTCATTATCGCTGTAGTTATGGTTCACGAGATCGCCTTGAACAATGGATCCATGAGAACTGGATCTAGAGGAAGCATGGGGTTGGTTTTCTCTTCTCATAAAGCCTTTGGCATCTACTGACTAATTCACAACCTTATTAGATGTGGGGTTTTGCCCGAATGCCCCTTATTTGTTCTATAATTAATGCCTGGATGAAGCATGTATTTTTTTCCACAAGACACACCAGTCTCATTGAGAAATAGTAGGTTTCATCAGCATGTTTAAAGATCATTTTATACTGCAAAATCAACAAAAAGTAAAACAAAACAAAGCAAACAAAGAAGAAATGGACAACAAAGCACGGAGGCAAACAGATCATGGGAGACCAGAACTTGTTTACCGGACCCTGAGATGGAAAGGGCATAGCACTGCCTTGTTTATATAATAGGAATATCCAAGTGCACTGTGCAGATCTGTATGTGTCTAGAGACTACTGAGAAAGCTCCGAGCACATTGGCTGGGAAGCTGATGGGTGCACAAACACAGAAAGCAAATCACGAGGACTGACGGTTCACAGACGAACCCTAGGAAGTCAGGGTCTGAAATAACTCACTGTGGAACATTTATGTATAGGAAAGGCACTAAAGTCATGACTTACTGTCCAAAACCTGATAAAATACTGTAAATCTGTAGCAGCAATGAAAAGGCAGTACAGCAGAGAATACGCCAGGAAAAGGAGGAAGAATTTGTAATTTGAAAATCCAACGCAATTGTTCACCCTGCCAATAAAGCAAAAGTCTGAGTGAGTGACAGATCCAGTCTAGGGATAAATATACTTAAGCATAGCATAGTTTTTGGTTTATGTTCAATTAAAGTTAATTAGCATTTGATATATAAGGAGCTTTACACTTCCTAATACATTTAAAAGGAATTTTTGTGCTTAAATAATAAACATATGATATTTAATATTGATTTAATAAATTACAATTAATTTCACTCTGCCTCATATACAATGAATTACATAAAGAACACCCACCTAAAGACAGAGACCTTGTGACAGACCCAACAAAGTCAAGGAAATTTGGAGAACTCACTAAGGTATCTCTTGATTCCATTTCCAACTGGGATTAAATAAGTTAGTCTTTTAGGTTTTCCCAAATTGGATCAGGTCTCTTTGACCCTCCTCACTGCATACCATCATGGAGGCAAATAAATTATCAAATAATATATTAAATGGAATAATTAAGAAAAGGAATGGGAGCTAGATAAAGTTTAGCACTCACTTGATAATTATAATTATATAATTATATGATTCTGGGGGTGTGAAGTAGCCTATTAGAATTTCATCTTCTTTACTGGAATATATGTGCTTAATAATTTCTGAAATCCAGCCCCACACTCTACGATTCCAAATATGAAATTCATGAATCCTAAGTTCCTTTTCTAATATCATTATAGGATGGGTGGGGGGGGGAGAGTGGACTCACAACTACCAATACAGACAACACAAAATGGAGTACATATTATTTTGTAGTCACTTTCTCAGTTTTCCTATCTTCCATAAAACAGGGCGTGACTCCGTGATCCTCCGTGGCTAAAGCGGCAGCTACAGGTATTGGAGTTAACTGGCAGTTAGGTGGGATGGCAAGCCTACTGCTTCCTCTTGGTCTTGCTCTTGTCTCCCTTGAGCCCTTCTTTGTCTCCTTCCCTGACCCCCTCCCCCACTGACCTTGGTAAAGAAACAGAACTCTTTACTATTTTTTCTTTTTTTTTAAAAAAAGCTATACTGTCATGAACTATGATTCTGTACCTCAAAGAGCATAATGTAAAGGAAACAACAGATTTAGTAATTTTGAACTTAAAGGTCTTGTTCATGAAAAGCAATTCGTAAATAAGTGAAATCGCATATTACTTGTTAACAGTTATGTCTGCAGCTTCAGGGGGCCCTGTGAGGATGCGAACAGATCTCTGAGATTGTTTTTTATGGCACCGGAATGGAATAATGGCGAGAAAGAATATTGGAAACAGTCTGTACGGGTTTCCTCTAATGTGATCTCTCATCAAAGAATGCAGGATATTGCCTTTGCTTGCTTGTGCTGTTTTCAAGAGGCAGAGTGGATAACTCAGGGTGGGTAGGCTGGGAGACCCTGGGCAGGGTGAGTAAACAAGCTAGAAAACATCATTTTGAGTGAGGTAACCTAGACCCAGAAAGACAATTATCACATGTACTCACTCATAGGTGGTTTTAAAACGTAAAGCAAAGAAAACCAGCCTACAAATCACAATCCCAGAGAACTTAGACCACAATGAGGACACTAAGAGAGACAAACATGGATCTAATCTACATGGGAAGTAGAAATAGACAAGATCTCATGAGTGAATTGGGAGCATAGGGTCCTTGGAAGAGGGTAGAAGGGGAAAGGAGAGGCGGGGAAAAATGTATCACTCAATAAAAATCAATTTTAAAAAGTTATTTTAACATCTATTGAGGAATTATTAATTAATGTAATACATATAATTAATGTATAAATATTTACATTTCTGGAAAGCATTTTAGTGCATCTGTGTTTATATATGTGCAGAAAAGAATACTCTTTGTACAGGGAAAACATGTAAAATTAACTTTCAGGTTATTAATGTACTCGTTTTAAAATTACTTAGTGGAAATGCTGCCAAATGAAGGCTCCCTGAAGTTAAGTAAATACTAGAACTAAACCTGGAAGTGCCTCTAGGACTAGGTGACTGATTAATGCAAAGGTTTGTAAAAAGTGATTCAGTTTGTGCTAAGTTAAAGTTAATAATTGATTCAAACTTGTTTTAAGTTCATACTCACCATGGGCAATGATGATCCATCTTCAAAATACATCTAAAAATATCCAAAAAAATAAAACACGACACCTTATGATGTCCATTATAAAAAGAAAATCGAAAACATTTCTAACAGTTGTGATATGTAAAATATTACACAGTTACTTATTTAAAAATAAAAACCAGTAAGAGCAGACATTCTCATCTAAAACAGATACTATAGCTGATTCTAGTTGTAACAGAATAATGAAACACCAAAATGTACATTCCTTAAGATACAGTTTCTTTTTAAAGACTGTTATTGGTACGAGACTACTTTGCATTACAATGTGGAAAATATTCATAGATTTACACAAACTTTATATAAAATTTGCTCCTTAGTATCAATCTTTAGGACATGTCTTTCTGTGTCTGTCACATATTAAGTAGACAACAAGATCTAAGCCTATGAAGTCAATCAAGGTGTCTCTCTAAAGATGGAAAACACCCACAGAAGTAACATTTGCTAAGGTTGAGCTTGCCAAGTAAAACTTGCTAAAAATGTGCCTGTTACGTCACCATGAGCCTGGGGGAAAAGGCATTAATTGCAACCATAAGCTACACTGCAGTTAATGCAAGGACTAACTCCACTCATGTATCCAAACAGTGCCCTAAACAGCTTGACCATGGGCTGTAGTGATAATCGGGAAAGCAGTAATGCCATACTGAAAACACGACCCCAAGCATGTAGACGTTTGAGAAGCAAAAGTTTCCTTACTTATCACAGACGGAACAGTGATGGCAGCGGTCAGGTTTTATAAGTTGGCATCTGTCACAATACCGGATTGCTAGGAACAAAAAGTTCACTTAGTCTTAATAAGTCACTGAAAATACAGCTAAATGACTTTTTTTATCTTCACTCAGGACTTAAACTCTAAAAAGGATACTGAATTTAAATTTGACTTAAAAAAATGATATTCATCCCAGTTTAACGACAGAGAATGAAAATACTTGCTTAGAGACAGGCTTCCCTGAGAGACTGTTCAGGAACAAAAGTCCTCTTGGAAAATCTGTCTGGGAGTTAGTTCTCTGTCATCAGTAGTTATGGTATGGCTCTCAAGGGGAAAGGTGTGTTCGTTTCTACTGGTCAACAGAAAGTCTTCCTCAGCTAAATCAATTTATTCCTGTGCATAACTGAGTTGGAACACAGCACAAAGATGTAGTCTAGAATGTGCAAACACACCCTAAAGGTTCCATCAATTAGAAAAGGTCTCACATCTCTGCTGATTCTGATACAAGGTTAGAAGGAAGTACTATAAGAAGCATTTCAAACACAGGATTTTGGTTCTTGCATGTAACGATGGCACCTTTTCTTCAATAGTACAGAGAGCACAATCTACCTGAATGGCTGAATTGGAGATGCTATTTCTCTACACACACCTCACAGGATGCACTAGATTGCAGGAAACAGTGAAAACTGTGTTAGACGTAGATTCAATACGATTCTAATGTGAACTCAAAGCAAATGAAAATTATCTAGGAATATTAATGAGGCGTTTTATATTTCTTGCATGCTAAATCTTTGAAAGCATTTGTGTATCTTATATTTAAGAATTCTCACCTTGGTCTAGCCATATTTTAAGGACTCGACAGACAAATGGGCTAATGGGCTATAATGGTAAGTAGAAGTTTAAAGTCACAAAACGTATCTGGGTTAAATCTTGGCAGTAATTACCTGTAGTTCATGTAGTTTTTTGTTGTTGTTTTGGATTTTTTGTTGTTGTTGATGGTGGTTTTTTTTTTTTTTTTGAGATAGGATTTCTCTGTGTAACAACTCTGACTGTCCTAGAACTCACTTTGTAGACCAGGCTAGCTTTGAACTCAAAGATCCGCCTGCCTCTGACTCCAGAGAGCTGGAATTAAGGGCACGAGTCACCACATCCTAGCTGTGTGTTGGTGTTTTAAGACAGTGACTTAATTAGATGTTAAATTACTTTAAAACGTAAGTGAAGTAGGCTTGCTATTAATTTAAGTTATTTATATCACAGTTTCCATAGAACCAAACATGACTGGCAAAGAAAAAAAATAAGTCAATGAAATTGACTCCTAATGCTATTCTGCTCTACTCAAATTGGTGCCTAGTTCAGTCATCATCAGAGAGGTTTCCTCCAGCAACTGATGGGGGCAGATAGAGATCCACAGCCAAACCTTAGGCGAAGAGAGAGCTCAGGTTGGAAGTCTCAACATCAGTCCCTCCCTTCAGAGTTTGGGGAACCCTTTGAAGAGGGGAAGTATGAATTGTGAATTGTGGAAGCCAGAGGGGCTGCCAACGCTTGAGTGAGCACAGCTGGGTAATCAACTAAGCAAGGCTCCTGGGGCCTCACAGAGACCAGAGCAGCAATCCAGAGCTTACATGGATCTGTGATAGGTCCTCAGTGTGTGTGTGTGTGTGTGTGTGTGTGTGTGTGTGTGTGTGTGTGTATTATGACTGTTGGTTTGAGGGAACTCCTGATAGTAGGAGTGGGGGTGTCTTTGAGTCTTTTGTATGCTCTTGGGAGCATTTTCCTCCTACCAGACTGCCTTACCCACCCTTGACATAAGGGTGTGTACCTGGTCTTATTGTATTTTGTTGTGCAGTGTTCTGTTGATGTCACTGGGAGGTCTGCTCTTTTCTGGGGAAGAAGCGGGTGGAGGAGCTGATCTAGAGGAGAGGGGAGGGGGGAACTGGGAAGAAGGAGGGAGGGGTAGCTAGGGTAGGATATATTGTATGAAAGAAGAGTAAATAAAACCTAAAATAAAAAAGATAGCAGTACCTTAATTATGTTTTTACATAGTTCACACAATTACTACTTTAGTCTTATTTTTTTTTAAAAAAAAAAACACTTGCGAAATTATTAGCTTTACATCCATTGACGACCCTGCTTCCTTAAATACAAACAGGAAGGTTTATAATTAAAACTTTAAAAGCAAAATTTTTCTACTACAGATAAAGACTTCAGCGGTCCTTACATCATCACCAAGTCACGACAAAGTAGGAGGGATGGAATCAGAGTTAGTTCTGAGCTCTCGCTGCCACCGTGTGACTCATGTTTCTGTTCTGTTGTATGGAACTGAATAGGAAGACTTAATAGCAACCCAAGAAAGAGCACAGCACTCTCCAATGAGCACTTGATGAATATGAGCATGCTTTCCAACAGCCATTACTCCTCCTTTGCGGACTGTTCCTAATCACCAGCGCTTACCTCCGGACATGGTCCGGGTAGAGATGGGAAGGTCTTTGGCTGCTCGCCTCAGAACTTCCTGATGGGCTTCTCCTCTTGGCTCTCTCTCCAGCAGTTCTTTCTCTGCATAAGAGAGATGGAACTGAGGAATAAATTTAAATTTTAATCAGTATTTTCCAAAGGAATGACAACCCATTTGTCTGCTCTATTACACTCAAAGGTACTTATCAAATATTAATGGTATATAGTACATTCAGAGAGGCTGATAGAGTTCCCCATCTGGGCATGTCTCTTAACCTCTCAAATAACTACTTTATGAATATTGAAAAAGGATATGATGATAATAATAGTAATTATACCTATTTCCATAAATGTTTTTCAAGCTTAAATGGAACAGAATGTAGGAAATAGTTTATAAAATGAATAAATCTGTCAAAATATTAGTTATATAATTGATAAGATGGCACAGTAAAAATGCAAGTCTTAGCAGATGAATTTTTCACTTGGATACAATCAGGAACAGAAGTAGAAGAAAAACAATTAGATATGCATTCTCATGTTTGAACTTAGGCGTAACTGTCACACAGGATCCCCTTTGGCACTCAAATATCTAAGTATTCATTTGATGCTTATATTGACATTTTGACTCAACCAATTGACCATACTTACTTAAGAAAAACAAAAATTTGTTTTGGCTCCTACAAGATACACATACATACAAAAGTCCCAAAGTTGGTACTGTATGAATTCCTATAAATAGGTCCAGAAGGTGTGTGCCAGATCAGGCACAGTGCTCAATCCAACACCTATCAAAGGGTAGTGGGTAAATGAATCAGGACCAGACACATCTAAACCCACTCCTGGTGATTCACCATGAACTACAATGACTGAACAAAGAAGGACTTTATCTTGGTATCTTGCTGAAAACAGCAACCACAGATTATCTTAGAGAACACATTCTCTACAAAGTTTCACAATCAAGAAGCTAAGCAGCCTCTATCTTACCAATAAGGGCAGTCATATGTGTTAAAATTATAAAGAAGGGGAATAATTAAAACAAAATACAGAACAGTTGTTTCTTCTTGGGGAGTGCAGGGGCATGCAACTGTGAAGTGTATAGCAGATAGGAAACTTAAGACTATTCTATGTATTGGCTGAATGTTTGGGCATTTTCATTAGATTATTCTTTAAATTGTACATTATATATACTTTATTTGCCAGGGTCAGGGATTGAATCTAGGCCAACATATCTGAAAGGGAAGTTTGATACAATTTTGAGCTATATTCCAGGAGGAGCTGCTAATGAAACTCTCACAGAATAGACCCAGAGTTGGGCATGGCTCTGTATCCCTGTAATCTTAACACTCAAGAGGCTGAGGCAGGAGGATTGTGAGTTTAAGACCAGCCTTGGCTACCGAGAGAGTTGCTGTCTCTAAAAAAGAAATTAAGGTGACACAAATGTCATTTATGTCATGACAGATTATTTAATAAAAATTTGATCATGACACTGGGCCCTAAACCTTTGCCCTCCCAGAAATAAACTAAAAACAGAACAAAACCAAACTTCAGCTTTCAAGCGTAGATAACTTTTACATTGGCATAACATTCTTGTGCGCATGATCTTTTGCAAGACTTAATCCTAACCTTGCAGGCCCATTAACGTAAAAACCATGCCTGGCTTTCTACTTAGATGCTTCATATTCGAACTCAGGGCCTCATGCTTACATCCCAAGCAAGCATCCTCATCTGAGCCATTTCCCTAGCTCTTCTTATTACCATTCCTAAAACTGATTTAAAACCAGGTGCTGTGAATTGCCAGTGAATTGGCTTATTAAATGACTTTTAAAAACTGTCATATACATTGATATCATCAACATTTTATGACTTTTCACCGAGTTTCCGGGTCTTTTTCGCCTCATGAGTAACTTCTAGGGTGTGTTAGACACGGAAGACCCTAGCATGTTTAATGTTCAAATTAATAAATTAATCAGAACACCCTGGACCAGCTCCAAGAAATCAAATGCATAATCTTAGTTACATAATATAGAGGTCAAAAATAGATTGCTACCTTGGAATAGGGTAGAGCTACACGATTCTCCCTTCCACCACTTCCTCTTCCAGAACATTATGGTATGCAAAGCCCTGCCAGTCCACAGATTAGAAGATGCTATCTGTACGTATCTGAAGGTACTGAGCAACTTGGAAAGCAGAGCTGCTAACTCCTGATCTATTCTCCAACCTCCAGATGTCACAGTTCTTCATAATCCTGGTTTTGCTTCTGTTAGACTAATTTTATCTTGTTTTTAAAGAATACAGTAGATTTACTTAACAAATTGAGAAAATACTGTAAAATTTCTAACATTCCTATATAGCCCATCACTAAGTTTCTCACATTACTATCTTACAGTAGCATGGCACTTTTAGCACTTTAATAAAAATAATATTGATACACTATTGACTAAAGTGCCTAACATAAAGCTCAGCATAGTCAGATTTTCTGTTTTGGAATATCTTTTTCTACTCTGATATTTCTACTCCATACATCTGCATAATATGGGATTATGGAAATAAAGTATTTTCAATCGCCATACGCCCTCAGCTTCGTTTTAGCCTTGGGGGGTGTCTCAGATTTTCCTTCATCATTCATGTTTTCCTTTTCTTGTTTCTTCTTATCCCCATGTAGTTGTGAGTAGTATTAGTATTGAATAGAGGGCCATTTAATTGCAATGTTTCTGATATTCGTCTCCTGATACAACTGAGGGTTATGGATCGTTAAGGAGAAAACTGATACTGGCATCGATGGACCTACCAAGCTGGCCTCAATCACATAGTTAAGGGAGGGTATAAATTTGTGTTTGTTTGTTTAAGGTTTAGTTTGTGTAGATGGATGTTTCCCCTGCAGGCACGCACATGTAGCACGTGTCTGTCTGATGCTCTCAGAGCTTGGAGAATAGCACCATAGCCCCTGGAACTGGAGTTATGGTTGATTGCAAGTTGCCAGATGGATGCTGGAAACTGAGCCCAGGTCCTCTTGAAGAACAAGTGCTTCTCCCCATTACACCATCTCTCCAGCACAAGGGAGCTTTCCATCAGGGGTTTCTAGTGTCCAGTTCCTTGGTAAAGTTGGGTTCAATTTTAACCATAAACACAAAGAGAAAAATCATTATTTATATCTTAAAAACTCACATAAATACATTTTCCTGTCTGTTGGTTATGTTTGATGTAGGGGATACACACGCACATGTGGTGATATTTTATTTGTGTTTTAAATAATAAAGCTTGCCTGAAGATCAGAGTGCAGAGCTAAGCCACTGAAGGCCAGGCAGTGGTGGCACCCACTTTATTCCCAAGACTCTGGAGATAGAGGCAGATGGATATATGTTAGTTCAAAGCCATCCCGGGCTACACAAAATTGAGCCAGTCTAAAAGAGAAAAAGAGCTCACACAAAGGTACTCCCAGCACTTGGGATCACATGCCTTTAATCCCAGCAACAGGGAGGTGGAGACAGGCATGATAGAGCTGGGCAGAGAGAGGAATATAAGGCAGGAGGAGACAGGGGCTCAGTGCAGTCTGACACAGTCGGTCTGAAGAGGCAGTCTGAGGCTGGATGGCCCCCTTGGGTCTGAGCATTGGTAGAGGTAAGAACTCTAGTGGCTGGTCACTCTACTTCTCTGACCTCTCAGTTTTCACCCCCTAATCTCTGGCTTCTGGTTTTTATTATTAAGATCAACTAGAATTCATGCTATAGCTGTGCAGACAGGAGTGCTATGACAGAATGGAAAAAGGAATCTAAAGCAGGAGGAAACGTAGCTCCTTGCATTCTGAGGCAGCAGTCTGAGGCAGTCTGAGGACACAGTCTGAGTATTCAAAGAGACAGGATTGCCCCTTCAGTAGGAAGATTCAGTATAGGTCAGAGGTCTCTTTAGTGACTGGTTGCTCTACTTCTCTGATCTTCAGCATTAACTTCTATATCTGACTCTAGGTTTTTATTACTAATATCAATTAGAGTTTGTGTAACACACACACACACACACACACATTTGTTTGCCCACTAAGTTGCTAACAGAGTTTTCATAAAAATGCCAAGAGTCTGATATAATTGGTAGTATTGAAAGTTACTTCAGTCCCTTCTGGGTAGCAATTTGATAAGCAACTGAAATTTTTTTGATCTAGTAATTCTACATCCAAGAATTTTTTATTAAAAATAATTTAAAATATAGGTAAAATTCTACATACATACTCACTAACATCTGTACCATATATAATATGCAACTGGGTTCAGCCATAGAATTTAAATTTAAAATTGGGGTATCTTTACATCAGCCATTACATAGTTCAAGGAGGATATTATACTGCTGTGAAAATTAGCAATATGGGCTGGAGGGATGGCTCAGTGGTTAAGAGCACTTTCTGCTCTCGTAGAGGACCCAAGTTCAGTTCTTAGCATCCATGCCAACTGGCTCAGAAGCACCTCTAACTCCAGTTCCTGACACCCTCTTCTGGCCTCTGAGGGTAACTGCACACACACACACACACACACACACACACACACACACTCACACGGTTTTGTGTAAAACAATTATCCAGCAAAGTCCCACCCAGTTTTAAATTCATTGTGATTCATTTCTACACTTATCCTAGGAGGGTTGCTGTTTTATATGGTATAGGTAGGGAAACCCTCCACGTGATACCGCAAATATGTAAATGAGAGATTATACCCTCTTGGCTCAGAGTGGCAGCAGGAGAGGGCATGAGCTCACAATGAAGGCATCTGCTAAAGTTATAGCCTGAAGATACTAACTGTATCTCGGATGGAGGAGGAAGAAGAGTCAAGGATAACTCTAAAGCTTTGGTTTGAAGAATGGAAGATGTAACTGCCATTTGTGAGATGGAACCGCTTTAAAAATATGATTAGAAAGTGAGCAGGAGATCCAAATGTTTTCAGATATGTTGAATTTGAAATTTTTGTCAGATGTCAGAGAGGTAGTTTTAGATGTGTCTGAAGTTCTGGAGAGCGGTCTGGGCTACTGTATTAATGAGAGTTTACCAATGGCAGACTATATGAAATTATAAAATTAAATAGGATCTCCAATGCAGATATATAGAAAAAGAGGTCTAGAAAGTGAACTCTGGGATAATCCCATGCTTGAGAATTTCAAGAGAGATAACTGTGTCTGGTACAAATACAAACAATAATTTTTTAACGAGAAAATGGAAATAATATTATAAAAAAAATACTGAAATGGCACATTCAGGAAGTTGCATGAGTTAAGAGTTACAGGAACATAACACAGGAAGTCAGAAACCTAGACAAGGATTATTGTTGCCAGGCAAGGGAGACCAGACTTTACCATGTGGCAGTATATACAGTCACAGAACAGACACATGCAGTGGATTAAAATGTTAAATTTCTCTTTAGATGGAACACTCTAGCTTCAAGGTGGAAGATAAATTTTTGCAGGGTTCTGGGAAGGGGGTGTAAGTAAGACTTAAAACCATGAAGATGTACAGCATGCCTGATGATGGATCTGATTGAGATGGTAAGAGGGAGGGATCAAGAAAGAGAAGTAGGGGGTAGGGAGGAATTGAGGAGACACCAAGAAAAAGAGAGTCACAGACAGAAACAGTGAGACAGAGGACAGAGACACATGCACAGGGGTAGAGACAGACAGACAGAGAGAGACATGCAGAGACAGAAAGAGTGAAGAAGAGATAGACAGAGTGAGAGACAGCGATAGAGACATGGACAGACAGACCCCAGGCTCCAGGCCTCCACGACGCTTACATTTAAGAAACAGACATGCTATGGTTTAGGGAATGACAGAGCAGTGCTCTCTGTATATGAAGTGTCACTGGCCTGCCCAAAGCGGAATGTCTGACAGAGCGAAACATACATTTAAGCTCTCAGAAGAAATCAGAACTGGGAAAAGATGTGAGAGTTATCAACGGAGAGGTGGTTGGTATCCACCTGAGTGGATGACATCACTCACCCGATTGATAGAAGTCAGCATTTTTTTTTCAGACCTACCCAAAAGCCAAGACATGTGTGAGAGAGATTATGAGCAAGAAGTGAACACTATATGAGGGAGGAAAAATACATAGAAAAGGAGAAAGAAGTACAAAGAGAAAGAAAAGATGGTCCACAAAGCACTATAGTCTACACATACCATTATTTCTGTGCAAACATGTGGGTTGGTTTTAACACATTTTCCAGGCTGAAAGCATTGGCTTCTATGGTCACAGGTTCAAGTCAAACTGATTGCTTTAGGGAACAATTTACAGTGCTGTGGCTTCTTTATAGCTTGGCCTACTAAAAATATGCAATGAACAACAATGTTTATTTAAATTCAACAAACATATACTGCAGCAAATGCCAAGAGCAAAGGCGTGGAAGATACCATCCCTTGCTCTTACCCAAACGAGAGACCCAGAAATGAACAGCACGATATATTCAAAAACGCAGTTTTAATTTAGTCATATGCTACTACTTAAAAGCCTCTGTAGTAGTAAAGATTGCTAGTGTTCTCCCAATAACCACTCCTCTCTTCAGTGGCTGACATGATCACTGAGAATAATATTCCCAGACGTCCATGTGAGATGTGCCATAATGAAGTCATCTAAATGCAAGTGGAAATGGAATCAATAACTTGAAGAAAATGTCACTGAGGGAAAGGGCACCTCTGTCCTACTGTCTATGGCCTGCTGGCTATAATGTATTCATAACGTCTGGAATTAGAGCTACATCTGCAGCCAAGCAGTGGTCTATGGAATCAAAACAGAACAATAAGAAGGAGTCTGTGTGTGTAAAAGTTGTGGACTAGCTACAGATTTCTTGAATACAGAGAAAATGAGTTAAGCAATTGATTGTTGCTATTCCTGGTGATTGCCAGACAACTAATATGTATTTAGTATAATAATTAGTATGGAATTACAATAAATTGTCCATCATCTATGTATGTATGTATGTATGTATGTATGTATGTATGTATCTATCTATCTATCTATCTATCTCACCTATCTTTTATTGATCTATCTGGATACACAACTCTAACATAGAAAAGAATGTATATAAGATTTGATTGAATAACTCTACCATATGCAAAAGTAAGTACTTAGTGAAAATCCCAAGTGTTTATTTATGCATATGCAGATTTTTTAAAACCCAAAAATATCACCATATTCAATAGTTTGTAACAACTGATGAAAAGAAGTCAATTCATTTTCAGAAGTCAGCATTACTGATTGCTATCTTCAAGATAACTTTGCTATTGCTTTAACTTACTTCTTTTGAAGGATTCATGGGCAGTGTAAAAATGGTTTTCCAGTATGACCAGACAAACATTGCAAAGAGTAGATGATAAGCCATGAGGCACACAACTAAAACGAGAGAAACATAATCATCACTGTAATATGTGAAATTTTGCTCCAATCATGGTATTCACAAACTATTCAAATTAACAATGATATACTGTAAACAGTATTTAGATCATATTCAAATAAGTGCAACTCTTGAATAAATACCTGAAGTCAAGATATTTTAACATCTCTAAATGTATCATTACATCTATATCCACTGACTAGAACCTCCCCATCACTCCATAGGCCAATCTTTTTGCAAACTGGCGAATCAGATTTTTTTCTATGCTGTAGAAATGGGACAGTTATATAAGAGTAAACCCAATATTAACCAAATGTTCGGACTTCCAGGCTTCATGAACTTTGCTTACTGAGAGGCAGAGAAAGCAGTTCCCATCTGAGAAGCCGCTTGCCCGTTTGCTTAGCTCTGGTTGACACTGGTGGCTCTCCTGGTTATAACAAGAACATGTAAACAGGGACCATCTGGAGGAAGTGATTTCTGCCTGTGGGGGTTCTAATGCTTGATTTAGTACACAGGACAACTGTTAGGAAAAGCATCCTGAGTCTATTTGTTTGATAATATAAACACACTTTGTATGTTCTTTTAAAAGCTTGAAGTACTACACAAATTTAAAATCATAATTTCATCCTACTGAAAACAATTCCATCTGAATAATACATTAGCGTAGTTCTGAAGTAAACAATTGCAGAAAAATGTGCCAAATGAGAATATAGACATGTCTGAGGGCTGGGGCTGCATAGCAGTGGTAGACTTCTTTTCTAGATGGCACCAGGTCTCTACTGCCAACAAAAACTAAACAAATAAATAAGCAGAATATGACATGTATTATGTTTTAAATTTTCACTAAAAATTTTCAATTTTTCCTAAAGAATTATGATATTTATACCTGTGGATTCATTTACAATTTGGATTATGTAATATGGAACTTAAATCAGCATAACACAAGCAGAGGCAAGATTTCATATGCTCTGCAGGTAGATAGCTTAGTTATGAAGTAGTTCAAGCTGGAACAGGAGGTCGTTCATATCCTTGGATCTTGGAGCATTAAGAATCTTCGAAACAGTTATGGCCATTATACAGTATTTGTGAGAGAATTTAGTTTGGGAAATTAAAAAAAATGATATGCCATTAACTCTATCATATTACCATATTGTCAAGATATAATTTTTAAGCCCAACCAAATATAATGGATACATTTTTTTAAAACTATTCTTAAGATATTATCTCTGCAACCATCATAATATTTTACCTTGTTCACCAATGTTCTCCATGGATACTAGAAATAGAAAAAAAAAAAAAGGTCATAGGTTATGTGAAGTTCATGTAAACCGAAGGCCCTGAAGACAAAAAAGACATTAAAATGGACTGATAATTTGGCTTCCCTTCAAACTAACATTCTTTAAATATTTGTTCAGCTTTATGTAGAGGTGAGCGCTGTGGATGGAGGGTAGAGAGGTGGGACTGGCAGCCACAGTCAGCCATGCTTCAATGGTGCGCCTGAAGTAGCAAGGCTGTGCTCCTCAAGTGTGGCCCTTGTGGGCCTCCGTAGATTGGCGTATTGACCTTCAACTATAGAGTTCAGGTCAAAAACCGTGTTCTCCAGGCCCAGTACGTTTCCTGAGATATTTATTCATATTTATGACTGAGCCACGGTCTCGTCAATTCTCAGCAAAGAACCAAATGTCTTGAATGGAGAGCCCATATGCTCCACATTCTAACAGCAGGGATCCTCAAGCTCCTGGCTCTCATTGCTCCCTGTGCAATACTGAGCGGTCCAGGCAAGGCTTGGAGAACCACTAGCCCTCGGGGGCTTCCTCTGAAGATAGCAACTGGGTGAGGAGAAGCCATTGACAATGGGAAACAGGCTGGGACAGGAACCTGCATCCAGTGATCCACAGGATCTCTTTACCCCTGGTTGAATCTATTTTGCTATCCATGTGATTTTCCTAAGTTAGTAAGAATGTCTTTTGGAGTTTGGGTATTTCTCAGTTGCAGCAAGAGAAGGATGTATTTTTTCTTTATCTTTTTTTCCTACTTACTCCGGAATGAAATGTCACTGCCTTAAGACATCCTGCCATCTTGGGATCACGTGACAGAGTTTTAGGGGTATCTGATCTGACCCACCACTTTCCCAACTATTTTTAGAGCCTCAGAGCCCACAGCTTTAGGGAACAGCCTGCCACATTACTGAATGGCTCTAAGAATTTAAAAATTCATATGCATGTAGTGTGCTGAATTGTGTTCGTGCATGGCTTTGAACTGTGGCATCTAGATTTCTGATAAATAAAACAATAAATAAGAAACAAAATGACAAAATCTCACATATCTAACATTGTACTTTGTCAAATGTTTCTCTCAGGTCAAATATACTATATCCACCACCTGCTTCGGAGATTCAGTGAGGAAATGGACGTCACAACGAGTTGTGGCGTTTCTAATTAAATTCTAAGTTGTTAGCAAGCTCGTAAGACTTTTTTTGTAAGCTGTTTGCAAGCCAAATAACATATGCCTGTCTGGCTTATACTGGAGATGAGAAAAGACAGCTCAGTCGTGAAAGTGCTTGCTTTAGAAGCATGGGCCCTTGAGTTCAGTCCCCAGCATTCACGTTAAAAAAAAAATAAATAAAAGCCAGGATGTGCTTGTAAATTCAAATTCAGTCCTGGGGAGGCAGAGACTTAAGATAGACAGCTCATGAAGAATAATGTCAGAGGTTATCCTCTGGCCTCTCGACACACACCTGCACACATGTGCACACACATGAATGAACACGTATCCACATATACAACACCATATACCCATAACCACACACACCACGGACACACACATATCCCATGTACATACATGCACACATGCATGGAAACAAGTCTCCTAGCTTCTCGAACCTGCCGTGTAAGTTTGTTTACAGATGAGAGTCTAATCAGCTGTTGATCTTCTCAGACTCCCTGGGGAGTTTATCTGACAGCATAGGAAAGATTCAAGGCCAGATTGTTCTTTGTGTCTGATGAGCACAGGAAGCCAGGCATTTTCCCCTAGGCCCCTACTTCCCTGCCCTCCCTCCCAAGGACTCCAAACTGATTGTAACCCTTTCCTATTCTCATTTGGAACTAAACCAAGGCCACACAAAAGCAATTTGGATCCACGCGTGAGTCTACCTTCTGAGTGACCTTAATGACCGTTCCAGAGGTACTGGGGCTGTAAAGAGTTCTACTTGCTAACATGTGACTGCTGTGCTCAGATCGGGAAATGGTAAAACAAAGAGACATTCAGCAAAATAAGCACAGCTTGTGTGAGCCGATAATCTCTCTGTCCTGGAACAGCAATCCATTAAATGGATAATCTAATATCTCTAATTACATTATTTGTTAGCTTCACAGACAAAGTTTTAGTTGTATCTTTTTAAAAGCTATTTTTTTTTTGCCATTTTGCCATTTTTTTGCCATTTATAGATTTTTCAAAATCTACAAATACTCTTTTATAATCAAACAAGTTATACATAGAGCCACACTTAGAGGAGATTTGCTAACATTTATACAATGAGATGTAACAGCCCCCAAAGGCCGTTTTCAATTACATCAATATTATAGAGCTATCAAATTTCTTACAGCCATGAATCTTTTTAAATTTAATCAACATCAACATCAAAGGTCAAAGGAAAGACTACTGTCATAAAACTGGGTCTCTCGGCAGAAAGGAGGCTGAGGCAGGAGGTTAGACAGTTCAAGGCTAGTCTGGGCAGAATAGTGCAACCTTGTCTTAGAGGCAGCTCACTGCTACATGGAGCAGGTGACTAGCGTATACAGGTCCTGGCTCAATATCTAGCACCAAAAACGAGGAAGCAAAGCAAAAATGTGTTTTAGTACTGGTTTCCCTTATAACAGGTGAGGATTAGTATTGTTGTAAAAATATAAGCATGGATTTTCTTTATCTATTCTTAGTGAATTGCGACTTTCTTATGGTCAATGGTCTATTTACGTTTTGTTTATTGAGACCCTCTAGTACGCTCCTAGAAGTGATCTCATATGTGTCTTCCTTATGTTACAAGTAAAGTTGTGAATAACCAGCTTCAAAGGGAAACACTACTGATTAAACACCAGTATCCAAACTAGGGACATCATACATCACTGGTTAAACACCATACTCAACCTAAGGACAAAACTTACACCACTGGTTAAACACCAGTACTCAACCTAGAGGCAAAGCTTATTCACATATATCAGGAACACACTGATTTATTTTTATGAAAGAAATGAATGCCTTTTCCAGCGTATTTTCCCAATTGTTACATTAGTGCCTCATCTTGAAAATTTTGATTTAATGTCAGAGCTATCATATTTTAAAATGTCTTTTCTCACTGTGTAAGGATATGTAAAATATATTATTTTCAACCATAGCTAATTTTAATAGCTATTTAAGAAAAGCCACTCCTTGACTTTGGATACTTTTCTAATAATATGTATTAGGTAACTAAAATATATGAGAAATATAAATTAATTTTTGAAAATATGAGTGGTAATGGAGTATAATTTGGTTACTTATAGCAACATAAGACTTAAGCAGTATGCCTGGAGAGATGGCATAGAAGTTAAGGACACAGTACACAGCTGGGCTGTGCTTTGTGACATTAATAATATAATTAAATACTATTGCATTAAAACTCAAAAGCCATATTAAAACCAAATAGTTACCTCTGGAAGATGTATTATAAATATGCTCAATACAACTATTTAATTCATTGAAGTTTTTATTTTACTTTTTCTTGTGTGTGTGTGTATGCATGTGTGTGTCTGTGTGTACGTGTGTATGTGCACGCGTGTGTGTATGTGTGTGCAGAACTGTGGAGGCCAGACAAGGGCATTGGCTTACAGATACTTACACAATTAAATCAATAATGACAAAATGGTACTGATCCTTAACACAGGTAATGAGACAAAACCACACTTTAGTCTTGATGGGGCACTTAGCATGATACTTGTGAGGATGCTTCCTGAAAGCGAGAAGGTTTATTTTGGATCTAACACTTTAACTGAATGAACACAAACTCATTTTGTTTTTAATGTGAAACAAAGACAATTATACCTACATTCTCCTCATATAAGACAAATATAATTTGTTTGGGGTGGAAGGATAACAGCACTACTATTATTACATTAAAATGTTTTCTATTTATACTTCTGGGGAACAATCAAGACATATGCAATAGCAACCACGGTGGGCTACGTTCATAGTGCATTTGTCTAATTTTGTCTGAAGTAAGTACAATTTCTTCCTGGTCCATGTCCTGCAATGATCTGTCTTTCCCTAGAGACTTCCACTCCTCTGTTATGCCTCCAGGACTTAAAACCCTCCCCTGGCTAATTGTGTTACAGGAATCACAGCCCTTTATTGGCATGGATGGGATGCAGAAAGAAACAGAGAGGGAACAACACATTATCACCATAGTTACTAAATGCTTCCTGTGTACTGAGAGGGAAACCAAGCACTCCATGGCACCTTAGACCCCATCGGACTGCAAGGCTAGGAGTTCAGGGTTCAGGTCTAGTTTCTGATTACCCCACTACTTAGGCTTCCTTCCTGTCTCTAGCTGTCATTATGATGTCGTTTTTTGTTTGTTTGTTTGTGTTTTATAAGAAAACTGATTTTTAGCAATTATCCAAACCATCCCCCCCCCCCAAGATTAGATGAAATTGAAAAGAAAATGTATTACATCACACTCCACCTTGGGCAACGATACAGAACAAGCTAAGCTGGGATTGGGTGGACTTTTCTGAGAATGTCCCACTGTGCTGCCCCGCTGTGTCCTCCCCGCTGTGTCTGCCCTCTCACTCATTTCCCTGAGTAGCTGAGGTCACAGGATGATGCCAACATGTCCAGCATGGTGAGCTGTCCCATATTTCTTACCCTAGCCCTCCTTTCCTCATCTGCAAAAATTACAGTCCATTCCTTTATCAGAGATGTCCTCACAAAGTAGCAAACAATGGGGTTCTTAAACAAAGGAGGCAAGAAAATCAAAAGTAACATGTGGACAAGGTTGGTGGCCACAAAAGCCTCTCTCTTTGGGTTACAATGGCCACCATCTCTCTATGTCTTCACAATGTCTTCCCTCTGTTACACTCTGCTTTCAAATTCTCTCTCTCTCTCTCTCTCTCTCTCTCTCTCTCTCTGTGAGTAAATAATGTAATATATACAAGAACAAGATTCCCAGCGTCAGCGAGCTGTGCGGACTTTGGTGAGACTGCATACCCCAATGGCCTCCATTTTCTACACGTGGCTACAGCT